CAGCAAGTGCAGGAAATTCTTTTGCATTGATTGTTTCAAAAAAAAAAAACACAAGTCTTGTCGCATAGAAACGTAATTTCTTGTAGTTATTGTGCCTTGTTACTAATTACTCATGATTAATTCTATGATTTACATGTTTGTTTTGAAAAAGAAGTCAAAGTACAGTTTTAAATGAATCTTTTTACAAGGTTTGGAAAAACTTTGCTGGAATTAACCATATTTGCTCCGATCATGGACCACGTTGTTTGTAGAAGTCTTAATGTATTGTCTATTGAATAAACACAAAAAAAAATTCCAAAAAGCCGCGACCTCGCAAAAAAAGAGTGGTGACAAAACCTTGACAAACAAAATAAGCATTTCCGCATAGCGGAAGTCCTATTTTTGAGTGAATAATGCCGTTTTTCTGCATAAAATTGTTAAATATTTTATTTAGTCGGAGGAAGCATTAATGAGGATGGAACGCAAGGCCCGCGAAGCCGAGCTTTATGCGCAGAGAATATCGATGTCATTAGCTGACGTAAATACGAAACCGCACTATGCTAGTCACGCACTAATCACTGAACCTAGTGTAGGTTCTTTTTCGATTGAAGTCCTTCATCCTTGCGTCATCCTCTTATTTTGGATTTCTTTTTTCTTTTTAGATTTGGCCTATGACAAATATGGCTTTGCAAGGTACGCTCTCTCATCATCAGTTGATGATGTCCGCTGGCTCGCAAGAAGGTGATCGAGCAGCGATTTCTGATCGTCCAGCAATACATGCATCACAGCACCCTCCCACAATCAGTTCATTGTACCGATCTGTGCAGCCCAATTTAGCCCAGGTTCGTAAAGTTGTGTAGAAGAAAGTATTGCACTCGTCCTACTGTGGTCATGCATGATGAAACTTTCTTAGATCATCCATGCTCCTCCTCCGGATCCATCGGTTAACCAACGACTCGAATTTCATAACTTGCGTACAGAACTGGAAAAGTCCAGGTTAGTCTACCGAGCAGTATTGCAACAAACAATTTTCATTAAGAATTTTTGGGAGTTCACTTTTATTTATGCACAGTTTTTCATTGAGTTTAGATCAAATTCAATACTGAACAAGTTTCAATTATTTTTTAACGATGGTTTTATAATATCCCTTGGGCATCTCCTAAGCCAAGCGTGGTAGTGACGAAAAATTCTGCAATCAGATTGAGTTCGTAAATCTTTTTAGCCCTGTTCAGTTACTATATATTTGAAGTTTGCCATAAATTCCGATTCAGTTTGAATATTGTGCTTCAGGCAGGATTTTTCTGAAAAGGCGCGGCTTTTCAAAGAGAGGTTAGACGATTTTCGAAACGAAATTGATGCTATGAAAAGAGAGGAGAGGCAGACCGAGCATGATGTTATTCATATTCATAATGTGCATAATGGATTCGACAAATTTACAACATTGAGAATGGTGAGTGCGTGGAACCTTGTAGCATCGAGTGTTTTCTCATGAGCATTTCAGTTCATGGGCTTAAATTTCGTTTAGCAATTCTTTTTTCGTTTTAGTATTTTGTTATTCTTTCGTTTCGTTTTTTGTGCTTTCTAAATTACTCGCATAGTATGTAGAATACGTCTCCAATCGAAAAGTTCTGATCATGCTCCAAAAATATTGCTGACCTCTAATTTTTTGGACGTTTTTGATGTTTAGCATAAGTCAAAGAGCGCTAGCTCTCTTGAGTCCTGCAGTGAAGGGCAAACGTTGTATTGGTGAGTTTATATGGTTGTGTGAGTGCTGAAGGAACGGGATACTGTGAAGGCTTCGTTTTTTGGTTACCGTGGTAGATATTTTCAGTGGTCTGAGGAAGACATTCGTTTTTTTTGCTTTAATTTTCGTCAATTTCATTCTTAGTTTTCTTCCCAAAAAAAGCGGAGTAAGAACGAAGCTTCTGACTATCCCGATCTCTTACCAGAGTGATGTTTTTCGTTTTTGAAACGTTCAATGCTGATATGTTCTTTTGAGTATACTTGACGTACTGAGGAACTCTAGATAGGCTTCATTAGGTGTGAATTTTTTTAATAATTATTAGATGGAAGGAAGAATGTTTCGTGGCATGAGCATGTTTTTTAACTATACTGTTTTTTGTTTTTTGTTCGCGTGGTTTGTTTTCACATTTGCAATAAGAACTGTGAAACTTTAATCAGCACAGAAGTCTGTCCC